TTATTATTACTGCTAGTGGGGTGGGACTAAGTCCCTTGTACTGCGGCAAATTCTGGCCTATTGTACCAGCCCCAGATGATAGGTGAGGGTGACTGTGCAGCAATTGGTGGAATGAAGATTAGCAGGAGAAACCGAAGTACTTGGAAAAAACCTGCCCCACCGCCACTTTGTCCACCACAAATCCCACATGACCAGACCCGTGATCATACCCGGGCCGCCGCGGTGGGAAGCCAGCTACTAATCGCATGAGTTATAGCGCCTGCTTTATACGTTGCTTCCATCCAAACATTTTCAAGAAGTTAGTTTCAAATATTTCTATCATATATACGAGTACATATTCTTCTGTCGTGGTTAAGGAACACACGCCACTAACCAAATCAAAACTCCATGGAGCCGAATCATTCTCTAGAAGCCGCCAGTCGATCATCTACTCAAGAATATCCCAACATTTTATGGAACCAGAAAGTTCATTGACGTGTTCACAAAAGCCCTCCACTGGTCCCTATCCTGAGGCAGATGAATCCAGATCCTATCACCCCATCTTATTTTTCGACGAAAATTTTACATTTTCGCACCTAGTCTACGTATTGCTAGTGATTAAATCGCCTATTTATAACAGATTCCATCAATAATGCAAGAAACTTTTCATTTTTCTTCTGCTTATACTTTAACACATGTTTCGGCCTTAGGTAGCCATCTTTAGGTGTCTTGATATATTAAAACGGTTACACTGCATTAATATGCGCTAAAATCACACGCTGTAGTGCATTTAATAAAATAAAATAGAGTCAATTAAAATTTTCTATTAAAATATTCATTACTTTGGTGAAATTCTATTCCACCTCACAAGGGGTGTCGTCCATTTGTTTAGAACTACTTGTCAAGATACCTGAAGATGGCCACTTAAGGCCGAAACATGTGTTAAAGTGTAAGTGGAAGAAAAATGAACAATTTGTTGCATTATTGACGGACTGTGTTACACACAGTACATACATTTGGATATTGCTTGCAACAGGATGCTTAAATACAGAATTACTTTTTAGTGATCTCTTTCCTTCTAGCTTTCCTACGAAATCCCTGTACGTATCCCTCTTCTCTTCCATGCGTGCTGGATTCCCTACCCATCTCGTCATCCTTGATTTTTGCGACAACCATTGATAACAGGGAACAAAATAATTATTCTGTGCGTACTACTAGGTATAGCCTCTTCATGTTTGAGGAAATAGACCGTAGGGTAACAATTTTCAGCAAGGTAATAGTAAAGATTCTATACAAATTAGACCCAAAGAGAATACTCCTGAAACCGATGATATGCAATATTAAAAGCACTTTTATGTAGCCTCTATCCTCTCGCTTCTCATATTCGCTATACGAATATGTCATAATCGGATACAGTCTGTGAGTCCTCCACAGCTTCTTCATAATTATGCTCACCAATTTCAGAATTATACACATTTACTAGGCACAAAGATGCCACTCAGGCTGGTCTCACGGTAACGATGTAGAACTCTATTTGGGTGGTGCTCTGTTCGAATCTTGGCCCTGACGCAGCCTATCCTGACTGAGTTTTCATAAATCCTATCCAGTTCGTTATTCAATAGTCGTTGCTGTACACCATGCTACATCTGAATAGTAAAATATATTCGTTGCAATTTTAAAGTATTCGTCACAAAACAAAGCAAAAATTACGACTTAGATGAAAAAGTGTCTATATCGCTCCAAAATAATTTTTAAAAGGTGTTGTTAATACTTTTTTCATTTTTCTCTTTTTTCAGTGGATACATGCTGTTGTGTTAAATATATAAATTTCTTTATTAAAATCCGTCACATCACAACAAAAAAATAGTTTACGTTTGACAGTATTTTGCTACATTTTTCGGCTTTTCAGAAAGCCATCATCAGACAAATGCAAAATTAAAGTATTCTTAAGCTATTGAATTTCTTGCAAGCATACTTAAGAACATGTTAATTGTATATTTGCCTGATGATGTTTTCTAATATGCAGAAACATGTAGCAAAATACTGTTAAACATCAACTGTTTTGTTATTGTGTTGTGACGGATTTTAATAAAAAAATTATGTTTTTAGAACATATGACAAATTTATATTGCTTTGATGTTTGTACGATTATAATGTTAACAGAAAAGCTAATATGTTTCAAAATATATGTGGAAATATTTTAAGATCCCTAAAGGGTAATATCTAGAACAGAAACACAGCCGACATTTTAAAAATTACAACAGTGAATCCTGAGCTAAGACCTTCAGGTTTCGCGTACTAAAGGACATACCTTAGAGCAGTCCGCTGAAGTGTTCGAAGAGAATGAAGAAAGCGCTTCTAACAAAGAGTGCCGATAAAATGTGAGGATCTCCGGGACAGTCACTAATACTCTATATGAGAGGTTGACAGATAGCGGCCTTGGTTGGTGGTGACATCTATCATCATGTGGATTTACATCTGATTAAACACTTTCCTTCTGAATATTGGTAATCCATGTCCTAGTGAAACACGATTGATCTGCGAATAAAATCTTTACGGCCTCAGGCCAACTTCTGCTGCAACAACCACTGACGATACATATCTTCCAGGTATGGACATGTTAAATTTTATTATTATTATTATTATTATTATTATGGTGTGAGATTGAGGCCACTTAGTACTGCGGCCACTTCTGGCCTATTGTACCAACCCCGGATGATTGATGGTGGTGATCGTGGAGCCATTGGTGGAACGAAGATTGGCAGGAGAGACCGAAGTACTCGGAGAAAACCTGCCCCAGCGCCACTTTGTCCACCACAAATCCCACTTGACCAGACATGGGATCGAACCAGGACCGCCGCGGTGGGAAGCCAGCGACTAACCGCTTGAGCTATGTCGCGGCCCAGGTGTGGTACTACCTCTTGTATATATTGAATGTGATGTGGATACAACTCCTGTTCTTGTAATGTACGGAGAACAGAAACAAGGTAGACACATGCTTAAGCTGCGAGGATTCTGGTACTGATGAGAGGATATTTTTCAACGACCTCAAAAATATGCTCTTAAGGGGACATCATCTCATCGCGTTCCGTGAAATGTTCGCGTCTCTCGGAAACTGCGGTCAGCAGAAAGACAGTACTAATATCTGACTCGCTTCTATTATACTATAAATAGGTCTGTGTACTTTCTAACGGCGGCTGCGTCACTTTCGTTGCATTCTCCTTAAAACAGGGTGCATATACGTTAATTCAGCAAATGAATTTCAAGAATACAAGCTCAACGTGCTCTCTGAAGTTCACATTGCTCCAGACGGCTCCAGACTGCCTGGAACTGTGCCCGTAGTACCCGTGTTTGCTTCGCTATCTCACAGCACTCTCGGGCACTGTAAGTGTTAACACAGAGTTCGGTTGCAATGGACATTCACGACCACCACGCGGAACAAACGAAATGGATATAGGAATTTCGTTTTTTTTTTTTTTTTTT